CCGAGCAATCGAGACGCCTGGTGAAGGAGCTCACCCGCAAACGGCACCAAGAGCTTGTCCCTGAGGGACACGGACAACGTGCTGCACCGTACTGCAATTTGGGCAATCTGTATCAGAACTATGTCAGCTTGCAACCATACGAGCAGCAACAAGCAGTAGTCAGCGTGACGTCGTAGTGTCACGCGGCAGTAATCGTCGTAGTGCGTTTACTTGTTTTCGCCATCGCAAACATGCGTTAAGAGCTTCACTGCTAACAGAAGCTGGCCAGCGGGTCCATGACTCGTGACAGTGACATGCTCTGCAGCTTACGTGCTCTAGTGCCCGTCAGTCCCTGACCTCAGCATCGGGCTCCCAGCTTCGAGTACATAGCTGCGCGAAGCTCCGCGTGCACCGTCCAAACCGAGAACCTAGTCTAATCCATCTAAGCTCTGCTGTGCCCCTTCGCAATCCTTGAAGCCAAGCCAGGCCAACACCCCCAAATACTCGTGAATCCCAAATCTTCGCCTGACAGTCAAGCCCTGAACTGGTGCGTGCCCTAAGCTGGAAGATGGTGGTGACAAGTGCCCAGCTCCCGAAAGTCTCTCAGCGGACCTCGAGCCAGCCTTCTGAGAGGACTCTCCGGGAGCCACCTCTTCGAAGTTCACATTGGCTGCTGAGCTTGGAGGGCTTTGTGGGAATCTTCCGAGCTTGCGAGCCACCCACACAACCCCAGCACTCCAAACATGCGAATCCAGAAATGCTTCAAAGAGGAGTGCATCTGCTGTCCCGAAGCAAACAAAAGGGCCGTGGCAGCTTTCATTGGCTTTGGACGAGACGCAGTGACAGAACTCGATCCACTCTGTGGACAAAAACCCAGACAGCCCTGCAGAAACACCCAAGGAACGGCGGCCGGCCCGCACACAAGCCTTCCAACAGGTGTAAAACCAAAGCACGACATCGACGCGACCGGTGGCACGGCCTCCTCGGCCTGGGACTCCACAACACTCGGCTCGGATCGCTGGGCCTCGCGGCTGCTTCAACGACCAGAAGAACAGGGACACCTCTCTGACGGAACTTGGAGCCCTCCCGCGGTGCATCCCAGCAGACAACATCACATATATACTACAATCACTGCCCCCTCGCCCTGCCGCTACAGAGCCGAGGCGGGCGGCGTAGCGTTAAAATTACTATTGCAATCTGAATCTGTCTCTCAGCCGGCTTAGTCCCAGCAGCAGCACAAGCACCGAGAAGGCGATCACCGGGAGTAAGTCGCCCTCGTCTGTCATGTACAAATACCTGCGCATCTTGAGCAAATTCACGTTTCGCCTGCTTCGCCTGTTCGGCAGGCATTCTACTCAGCTCAGTACGGTCGGGAGACGGGTGACAGAGCTACTTAAGCTACGCATGCTACGCGGAAGGCCATGTCAATGTTTGGAACAGTCATGGTTGCAGCCGTGAGCCAGCTGAAGAATCACAAAAAGATGCAATACGTTATGAGTAGAATCGCAAGTGGTGATAACGTCCATAATCCGAACAAACAACAGCATTGATACCCCGGCAGAATGCAGTTCGAGAGACACGTGCGTCGGGGCCAAATCAAAGTCCCAAGATGTACTCAGGAACATCAACTCCAAATGAACGTTGAACCGGGAAGGGGGTGCTCTTGCTGTAGGGATGTACAGGATGTGGCTAGAATAAGCTGGCAGGTGCGTGGAACTGGTTTGCCATTGCCGTGTGCATATGCTATGCTGGCTATACCTGAGGGCAAGGTTTCACACAAGAAGCTTCCAATCGTGAAGCATGCCACGAGAAGGGCGAAGGTCAGTGGCTCAGGGATGGTTTTGCTAGGGCAAACTCAGAAGGCCTTGATCCTGCAAACACGAAACTCCCGCTGGGCACTACGTTTAACTTTCGTCGTGAGCGGCTCAGACCTGCGAGAACATTATCAATCTTTTTGGCAACCCTTCTAAGCAGAATAGGTGCTCGAGAATTTGAGGGCCAAGGTGAACGTAATGACGAATCTGCATTCATGATTGTGGATAGCGGATAACTGCAAGCATGGATTGACACCTTGGGGTTTGAGAGGCCAGGGTTTGAAGGAAACCCTGCGGACAGGAACCCATCACAGCATAAGCAGCTGCAAAATTTCGCCGGGATTGTATCAAGCAGCCAGCTTTGTCGAAAACCTGTTTCCAGCAGTTCGGTGCTAGTTGGTCACAAAGCAATTGAGCCCCGTGCAGGACCTTGCATCTTTGGCGCAGGTCACAGAGTCTGAGTTGCAAATGAATTTCGACTGTACCTTTGGCAAGTGCTGTGCAAAACCGAATCGGCAGCACGAGTCCCTCCTGCACGGAAGCCGCTTGGCATGTTCTCGTCAGGCTCGCAAAGGTGAAAACCGCGTGGCAAGGTCGCTCTGGTTTTAAAGCTCCCGGCCCACGGCAACTCTGTCGCAGCTCTCGTCTCAAGTAAACTGGTGCGTGGATACGTGCGCCGGATTCACGATCGGAACCTCAAGGTGTGAGTTGTAAAATACGCTGCTCTCGGGACTCTGAGGGCTGGGCTCTGACAGGCAAAGGCGCGTTGCCCAGCGGGGTGACCTCAGAACCCACACCAATTTCACGAAGGCAGACTGGCGAAGAAGACCCGCCTGCAATCCACTCGGCGTCAGCAGTGTCAGGGTCATCAGATCATGTCCAGCTTCCTCGGGAGCTGGCCACGAACAGAAAAGTCGACGAGACTGAGACACAAAGCCAAACTCAGAAGCACTGAACCTCCCTGCAGCATCCTGCAGCCGAGTGCACCTGCTCTTCCGGATCGTCGAACGTGCTGGTGGCAAAGTCCTTGTCCCAACCGGAGCCATCATCCTGCAGGACGACTGCACAAAAACGAAAGAACACCTAGCAGTCCAAGCGTTGCATACCCAAGAACCATTCCACTAGCAAGATTCGAAAATGCACACCCCACGCACGATTGGGAACACCAGCTGCCGCAAAATCAATGCAGGATTGTCATGGGACCACGATTTGTGGGGGGGGGGGGGGGCGGGGCGCAAACACCTGCGCAGCGAAAAGATGCACAACGCAGAAACACGAGCACGATTGGACGGTCGATGTGCACCCCCAAAACACGGACGGCACTGAGACGGCCAGCACAACTTCGAGTTTGACAAATTCGTGAATGCGCTGGACGGGCCCAACAAGACGAGCAGTGCGGCCCTGCAGCGGTTGCGGGCGTCAAGCGAACTGAAGGCCAAAATGAGCACGGCGCGGGACTGCTGTGGGAGCATGATTTCCACCTAAAAACATGTCAAAAATCGCAGGGCACTGTGAAAGGAGCGAATCTAATTCATTATGTTGGACACCGCCAAAGTAATTAGTTGAACTACAATGACTTCGGCATTCCCTTACACCAAACGTAAGAACACCATATGATGTAGTGTGACGCACATTGGCTGTAGAGGCATGCAGCATCATTCAACCGACCTTGTATGGCACCTGCGGCGGCAAGTCATCCTTCAGAGCATGGAAGTTGCCAATGTCCTGCATCAGTAGTACGTTTAAGAAGGGATGGGGGCAACAAGTCTTGCCGCTCCTTCTTGTTCTTGACCTGGGGCTTGTAGGGCGGCTCCAAGCTCTGCTTCTGGCGGGGTTGATCAACAGTTGCTGTAAGCGTCCGAATCCAAGTGCGGGGTTCGCTCCAAGTGGCAGCAAAGCTGCACTTAGTAGAATGGCCCTTTGCATCGACTTAGGTTGTACCTCGCCCATGCATGCGGACCCACGCCTCGAAGGCCTGCCAGTCGAATCCCTTGAAGAAGGTGTGCCTCGAAGGCGGACAGAGAGTACGAATCGTAGAATGCAGGTGCGGGGGCTCTGAGAAGCATATGCCCCGGCGGCAACCGAAACCCCATACACTGCCCCACAAGCTTAAGCACCTGATGACCGTATAAGTCGCTGATACGATTGGCCGCATAGACTGCTGCCGAACCACTTCTTCAGGTTGGCCACACCACCCTCTTTCATCGGCAAACGTTCTGATGGGTCCTTCCACCATAGCTGCAATCCAACAACAATACGCATGTGATTGATACAGTGGCTTCCCGGTGCTTCCCGCACGGCCCTGATGGATTGTGGTAAACGGGCTGCAACATGAGCACTGCTATCCTCCTTGCAGAGAGACCTCACGAGATCTTCAGCCTCAGTTCGCGCGGACTTGAGCTTAAGCGATGAGATGCCTGTTTCGCACAGATTGACCAAGAAACTGCCAGAACACGACAAGCCGCTTTGATGGTGAAATGGCGTTAGCATCATCAAGTTCGACAACTCTGACGGAACACTGCTTCAGTCAAGGCACGGCTCCTTTGCACGGAGGTGGGAAGGTGACTTTATTGATTCCAACGAGGACCTGCGCAGGTAACGACGTGGAGGATGCTCAACGTCTGCAGTTCGCAAGCACGAATCGACACGATATGTCAACATTGCGGACCCTCTGCTCCAGCAGCGGAGGCGGAAATTTTGAATTCAAGGACCGGATAACCCCACATGCGAAGTTTTCGTTTGGCAGAGAGTATATACATGAAAACAAGTGAGTGAGTGAGTGAGTGTGCAAAATTCCGGTGTACAATCTAGACAGTTACGAGCAACCTACCGGAGATCAATCACTTTCCCCACACTCACACACTCAGGCATTCCTTTGTGCGACCAAGCAGTCGTCCAGTCTTGAGCCAATGCTATTCGGCATTGTTGCATCTACAAATGCATCATATGCATTAGGGGCCCATTTGGGTCGTGTCATTTAACACAGCCCTTGATCTTGACTTCAGTCGAAACTAATTCAACTCACGACCCAATCGCAACAACATTGCGCAGTAGGTACAAACTTTCGAAAGAAAACGGAAAGACAACATTCGGCTCATTCAGGACTTTTGCTCGAACGGGAAAACATCATCCGAGTCATTCGCAAAAGGGGAGGCGCACTGCACTGTACAGTCGATGTGCTCACAGTCGGGTCATGATGCATACAACATTGGATGCAAGAACCTCATTCTCGGCAATCCGCTGAAGAACTCGGTTCATGAACTTCATTCTCTGCAATCCGCGGAAGAAACCCATTCAACACTGCAACATAGACTTCACATTCCAAAAACATGCGGCATTCGGTCAAGCACTCCTTAATTACAATGCTGCTCAGTGCCAATCACTTCTCGACGGCAGTCATGTTGTTGGCATTCATGCGCAACACGATTCAAGGCATTCGCGACTTGGGAGAGAACAGTCGCCGAGCCTGTGGAAGACATTCCCATCGGCTTCTTGGATGCCATTGCCGCAGTCGAGGAAACCGGGCCATTCCAAGCATTCGCGTGCTCACCATCATCGTCGTCGTACAGTTCATCCCAGGTGGAGCAGTCGTGATCCAGTCCGGATCCAAAGGCCTGAACCACAGGGGCCATTTTGTGTCCCATCCGTCGCCATTCGATCAGGCCACTGTTGCGAGCGGTGGCCAACCGGTTCCACCCGGATATTTCCTCAAGGCACAGCAGCTGAGGCGAACCTCATTGGATCATTCGCGGGCATTGTGATGATGCCCATGCTCTGCAGTGAAGCCTCATCTGGCACAGTCCAGATCCAGCGCTTGGTGGCATTCTCCGCGGCATTCTCCTCGACGTAACCATTCTGCATGCTGATGTGGTCAGTGAACTGCCTGTTGGAGTAGTGCTCAAGCTTCATTTTCTTGTGAGCATTGGAAGCTTGAAACTTCCTTGCTGCTTCATTCCGGCTGCGACGTCTCAACACGAAGACGGGTGGCTCAGAATTCGCAGTCTCATCGAAGCAGCGCAGTGACAACCTTGTGCGCATTCTTCTCAATCTCATCCATCAGCGTCTTGGCCGGGGGCTTGTACAGTCCAACATATCGCTTCAGCTGCCACGACCAGCCGTCCCTTTTCTCCAACCCTCCATGATACACTCGGGGAGGAAACAGATTGATTTCACCACCAATTCCTCTCACTTCGAAATTCATTCTTTCTCACTCTTCCCTGGTTCCACAGCCGAAGCTCCACTACCATGCAAAATTCCAGTGTACTATCTAGACAGTTACGTGCAACCTACCGGAGATCAATCATTTTCTCCACAGTCACACACTCAGGCATTTCTTGCGCGACCAAGCAGTCGTCCAGTCTTGAGCCAATGCCAGAATGGCATTGTTGCACTCACAAATGCATCATGTACATTAGGGGCTCATTCAACAGACTGACTGAGTGAGTGAGTGAGTGAGCGAGAGGGTGAATGAGGGAGCCAGCGAGTGAGTGAGCGAGTGAGCGAATGCGAGCGAAAGTGTGAGTCAGTGAGTGTGTACCAGGGCTGACGGGTCCGGCTCGGGGCCCCTGTAGGTGCGCCTACCAGGTGATCCTATACACAAAAGAGCAGATACTTATACTGGTTTAAATCCAAACGAAACCTTCACCTTGACCTTCCGACCTCGACCTTCCAGCAAACCCAAGAGAAACAAAAATAAACAAAGAGATAAATTTGGCGCGAGATCGCACTCCTGCACACATGCGTCTGATGTGCAGGCCGAACTGTGCATCTGCGTCGGCTAGCCTAAAACTCATCAGGCCAGTCCAATCGCGCACATTGCGATGGATCTGAATACTGGTGCGTGCAATATCCGTAAAGCGCGGCGAGAACTGTAGCATTCGAAGCAACAGTCGTGTAATACCGAAAAAACCTGTGTACGTATTGCTAGTGAATCGTAACTGTCCTCGAGATTGTACTCGTGCATACATGCCAAGGAGAATCTAAGTGCCTGCCAAGCAGAATCAGATCTACCTGCGTCTGATGTGCAGGCCGAACTGTTCGTCTGAATGGTATGGGTAGGGCGGTAGTCGATTTGTGCAACTCTCCTCCAAATTTTACTCTTGCGTACATGCCAAGCAGAATCTGATCTGCCTGCGTCTGATGTGCAGGCCGAACTGTTCGTCTAAATAGTATGGGTAGGGCAGTGGTCGAGTTGCTTCGGCCAAGTGATACTTGGACCCAGCGGTGGTGCCAGAACAGGCTGAGTTCGGTCTCAAGTCCATGTAGCCGAAAAGACTGAGCAAATGTTCCGCAAACATGCAGTCAGAACATGACATGTAACATGACAGCGAAACTGCAACATCATGCAGACTTTTGACCACCAGCTACGGACTCAGCCATCCAGGTGCGTCTCTGCAGGTACGCTTACCGTTCTAATCCACGGAACTTCACTGCAAAGGCCGTGAAATTTGAACCTCTGCCCCCTGCAAGGTTTGTCGCATGTACAGCAGAATAACACAAACACACACACAGACACGCACGGCTAGCTACTTGCTGGTTTCATCAATAGTAGTTTGCGACTTGCACCCTCAGCCTTGGCATGAATCTGCCGGGTACATCTCGCATGAAATGGAGCGTCACCTGGCAGAAGCTTGGTTTCGTGTTGTTTCATTCACGCGGCACATGTTGGGTGCTGCCTGCGAGGAGCTCGAAACAAAGTACTCCCAGCGTCCACCAATCGACCCCGTAGGCTTGTCCGACACCTCTGATGGTTTCCGGGGCCAAATAATCAGGTGTGCCGACCATCGTGTAGGTCTTGTGGTTGCCTGGGTTGCCAACGTAGGCCAACGATTGATCAAGCAGCTTCCGTCATCCCTTCAGCGATGCATACAGTAAAAGCTGCAAGGCTAGATTGCACTCAAGTGGCCGATGAATTTCGCGATGCCCATGTCTGCCAGTTTCACCCTGCCCTCTTCTGTAAGTAGCAGGTTCTCAGGCTTCATGTCTCGGTAAACGATCCTGGCTAGCGGCTAAATTGACGAAGCTCAGGAATCTCGAAAGCAGGATCAAAGCAAACACGATTGGATACAAGGAGAAGTGGTAATCTGCGTCTTTGTTTCTTGGGTTATCGTTATTTGCGTCTTTTTAACGCTTATCTGCGCCTCTTTTCGTTTGCTTTGGATATTAACCCGAAAACCCAACAGGCAGTCAGCAATAGACAATGACAATAACCATACAAACATTAGAAAAACAACAAAATCCTGTAACCAAGAACGACCCATAAAACATGCGCTTCCGGTTCGGAATATTTCGTAAACACTCCCCCTCATTTGGTGATTCCGGTGCATCATATATCTTAAACACGTTCCCCTCTCAGTCTTAAACACTGCATCCTCATGGGCCACTCGGGTTGATTATCCTATAGCCTTGATGGGACCTACCACGTTTTCGAGCTGATCACTGGGTTATAGCTGCGCCTTTTCTTTCGATTTAGGGATCAGCTTATAAAATTCAACAGACAATCAGTACCGTAACCATTGCACACTTAAAGCAACCAAAATAAAATCTTAAACACGCCCCCTCATTTGGCGATGCCGGTCATCAGATGCCTTAAACACGCCGGGCCAGTGGGGTTCATCATATATCTTAAACGCACCATCCGGTTTATCATACATATTTAAATACGCCACCTCATTCGGCGATTCCGGTTATCATATACTTTAAACGCGCAAGACCAGTGGGGCTCATCGGTTCATGTTATATCTTAAACATAGCGATTCCGGTTTATCATAGATGTTGAAACACGCCCCTCATTTCCGGATATCATATGCATTCAACACGCATGACCAGTGGGATTCATCATACATCTTACACATGTCCCTGCATTGGGCGATTCCGGTTTATCATATATCTTCAAAACACACGCCCCTCATTTGGCGATTTGGTGATTCCGGTTATCATATACCTTAAACACGCCAGACCAGTGGGGTTCATCATATATCCTAAGCCCCCCCCCCCTATTGTGCGATTCCGGTGTGGCATGTATCTTAAACACGCCCCTCATTTGCCGATTCCGTTTCATCATATCGTCTTAAAAACTACCCGTGGTTTGGCGATTCCGATTCATGGTCTCTTGCACACGCCCCCTAATTTGGCGATTCCGACTCATCAGGTATCTTTAACACGCCTTTCCCAAGGAAGCAGATTCCGGTTCATCATATATCTTTACACGTCCCCTCTATTGAAATTTGGGGAATGTGGTCAGTATTATACAGATGGTATACTATATCATTTGAAAAACGCCTTTCATTTGGCGATTCCGGTTCATCATATATATTAAACACGCCCCCCCCCAACTTGCGCGATTCCGCTTTGTCATATACCTTAAACACGCCCCGCCCCCCCCCCCTCCCCATTGGGGCAATTCCGGTTTATTATATATATATATATATATATATATATGTATATACATATTTATTTGTCCATTTAAACACGCCCCTCATTTGGCAATTCCGGCTATCCTGTACCTATATGTACCTTAAACACACCAGACCTGTGGAGTTCATCATATATCTCAAACACGCCCCGCCCACCCCCCCCCCTTGGGCGATTCCAGTTTATCCTGTTTTGAAATACGCCCCTCATTTGGCGATTCAGTTTCATCATATCATCTTAAACACCGCCCGTGGTTTGGCCAAACCCTTTAACTTGCCCCAATGGGGCTGATTCCGGGTCATCACACATCTTTATGCGTCCCATCATTTGAAATTTGGGGATTGCGGCTCAGCATGTCATCTTAAAACGCCCTTCTTTTGGAGATTCCGGTGCATCATATATCTGAAACAAGGATCCCCATTGGAGATTCCGGTTCATCGTATATCTTCAACACGCCTCCCCACTTGGCGATTCCGGTTATCAATTCCTTAAACACGCCAGACCAGTGGGGTTCATCATATATCTTAAACACGACCCCCCCCACTGGGGCAATTCCGGGTTTTCATTCATATATATATATATATACATATATATACACATACACATGATACACATGTACTGATTTATTTGAACACCCCCCCTCCGTTGGCGATTCTAGTTATCATGTACCTTAAACATGCCAGTCCAGTGGAGCTCATTGTATATCTTAATGCCCCCCCCCATTGAGCGCTTCCGGTTTATCATGTAGTTTAAACACGCAAGCCCCTCATTTGGCAATCGCGTTTCATCATATCATCATCAAAACCACCCGTGGTTTGTTTCCCAACGGGGCTGATTCCGGTTCATCATATATCTTTATACGCGTCCCCTTATCTTGAACACGCCCCTTCATTGGGCGACTCCGGTGCATCATATACCTTAAGCTTTTAAACAAGGATCCCCATTGAGAGATTCCGGTTCATCACATATCTTGAACACGCCCCCTCATTTGGCGATTGCTGTTAGCACATACCTTAAACACACCAGGCCAGTGGGGTTCATCATATCTTAAACACGCCCCTCCCCATTGGGCGGTTCCGGTTTATCATATCTATTTAAACACGCCCCTCATTTGGCGATTCCGGTTATCATATACCAAAACACGCCAGACCAGTGGGATTCATCATATGATATGTGTTAAACACCCCCCACCCCTCCCTCCGCCCCCCGCATTGGGCGATTCCGGCTATCATATACCTTGAACACGCCCCCCCCCCCTCACCCTTTGGCGATTCCGGTTTATCTTGTATTTTAAACTGCGTGGGGGATTGATCTCGACTTGGTTGCTGCTCTCCCCACCAGAGCTGTAATGAATGTAGGTGTGGCTGGCTAGCACTCTCCACAGACTGGACCCTGTCTCTCCCTCTTACTTCCACACGTGCGATCCTATGCAGGCAGAACCGGCGGCCGTTCCTTTTGCACTCACTGCCGGCGGCGGTTCGTCTGTGCAACGGGATAGCTCTGATTGCTCAGGATAGAAGACACATATAGCACTTAGCTATGGGCATTGACTTGAGCCAAACGTTGCGTTGGCGGTCACATAGAAAGGTAAAGACGAGGGATGCGTAGCATGCCCCCTAGAGTCGAGGGACGCGTAGCGTGCCCCCTTCTCTTGCACTTTACACGGTCTTGCTCACAGCTCTTATAGTGACACCTTAGAACTTGACAAGGCATCGCAGTCCGTTCGCACCCCCCATGAGTTGCGTCTCCGACGCTGCTCACCCGGAAGATGGCACGATAGGACAGAAGAAAATTCCGCCGCAACGTTGACATTGAAAATCAGAGCTTTGTATCCCAATTATAAACGTTGTGACACTCATCTACGTCAGTAACGATCCCCTGAAATGACAAACGAATCAGGCGTCACCGAAGAAAGAAGCATTCGCGATGGCATTCCACAGGCGAAGCTCAGAGGTCACGAACTGATAGGCGAGGAAGATCAGGCGTTGTCTCGCCACCATCTTCGCGTTGACGTAGGATCGCGTTCCCAGGGCCGGAGGTTCTCCTCTGGATATGGGTTCCTTGGCTTTCCCTTGTCCTTGCCTTTGTTTCGCCCTTTGGCGGCGATGTAATCGTGGTAGGAATTGGTGTTCCAGCCACCATGTTGCTCGCCTCCGGTTCTTCCACGCCCCTTTGAAGGTCCCTTGGATGAAGAAGCGCTTTCACGTTCCTCCGTAGTAACAGGCGTGTCCAGGATGGAAGTACCACCTGGAGGAAGATAGTCAGCGGCCGAAATGTGATGTAGGGCTTCCGTACGCCTTGTCGTCGGGTTTTGCTGTCTCTCAGTCTTGGATCTGTTCAATCTGTCCATGAAATGCGCAGGCATTTGAACGCTGTGGTCCACTAGCAAGGCGATGGTCTGGACTGACTGATCAGAATGAGTCAGCAGAATACCGACAGGGTCGATGTACAAGAAGTCCACTGGTCCAGTTGGCGTTGGTCGTAGCACTGAGAATTGTTGGTGTCCCGTCACCATTGGGATCACCTCGCATAGGACGTTCAGGCAACAAAAGTGCATTGCCTTTACATCTTCATCCCTGTCGCTCTTCAAGTAAGTAGTAGGGCTGAAGTTGTCCCTGCCAATTCCCATCATGTTGGCTCCCCGTACAAGTAAAGAAAGCATCTGGTTCGTCCGGAAGCGCTTCAAGGTGTAAGTCCCGTTGGGATCATACTGTTTGAGGTTCTCAGGTTCCTTGGCAAAGCGAATGATCTCCTCATCAGTCACGTCCCTGCTCACACCCGTTTCCTTATCCACTGCTGCCAAAGATCCCCACTTTCCAAGCACATCATAGCGTTGGCCAAGTGCGAAACTTTCCCTCATCTGAAACAACGGCATAGTCGCCCACTTTGCGAATCCTGACCAAGCTTTGTAGATAGATCGGCATACCACGTATGCCATGTACGACAGAGCGGTCATGTTCGCATCGATGCAATGGGCATTTCGCTTTCCAGAATAGTAAGATGGCTGCATGGCGGTACGTGCAAGTTGTAGTTCAGGATCGATGTTCAAAGACTGGCCGGTAATGAAGACGGGACGACGTTCCTGTGCGATTGCTTCTGGAACTGCGTCATCAAAGTCCTCTCCAGGCTCGACGTCCATTTCTTCATCAGGTTCCTGTTCTGGATCGTCTTCCGCAACGACAGATGGTTCTGGGATTTCTTCAGGT